GCCGGGGCGCTCTCAGCCCTCCGCCTCCCGCGGGCCAGTGAGCCGCCTGCCGCCGGGCGGAACGGGGCTTCCGTAGGGAATTAAAGACCTCGCGCCCTTGGGCAGAGAAAGAAATTCGTGGAGGGCCGAGACCCGGCGCCCCCGGCTGCGGGCGGGCAGCGCGCCGGCCACGTGGACGCCCCGGGTGGACGGAGCCCCTGCTGCGCGCACCCGCTCGCGCGGGAACGACCCAGACTTTATTCTGGTTCCACCCCGCGCTAACGGGGCACGGGGGCTTGCCGCGGGCCACCCAGCGGGTTTGGTGGCGGGCCTGGCAGCCGCGAGGACGCCTGTGCACCCAGGGAGACGTGTCTTTGCGCCTTCCCCAAGGTGCACCGAGGGCTGCAAAGAACGCCCTCCTCGTTCCAACATGCCGAGGCGCCTTTAGGGCCGCGAGGGCAAGAGAGGTCCTGGGGAAGCGTCAGCAAGCCCTTCTGGTGTTAGGTGAAGCTCATCGATAATAGAAACCTTTGAGCACGAGCTACAATTGAGAGAGGGAGGGAGAGAAGTTCCAACGGACAGCAAGCGCTTAAGCACTTGGCAGGGGCCCAGAAGAAAGTAGGAATCCTGAGAGATGCCCGCAAATGTGGAGGATCCCACCACTGTGAGGTCCCCCCGGGTTAGGGAATCCATTCCAGCCGGTCAGCAGCCTCAGGATGAGATGAAATCAGAGGAAGTTGGGGCTTGTTTTAAAAATTTCACCTTAACCACTCCTTCGATTGAAGACAATGCCAACAGATAATTCTGTGCCCCTCCCGAGGGTGTAGTTAGGCAGGGGGTGGGCGTCTCGAAGGAACTTTATGCCTCCAGCCCAGCTCTCTGCCTCCAAGTGAATGCGTGATCTTGGACTGGTCACCGGCTGCCCTTGGCAGGACCTCGTGTTGCTTCTCTATAAACGTAGCAGGGCTGAATTGTATCGCTGGACCTACAAAATCATAGGGTGTTTTGTGAAATGTCCTTTAAGGTGACAAGCCCAGGGAAATGGGGACAAGGACTGATGAAATTGTACCCCTTGGTACCCACACCCCACCTCCCTCCGTGGTTAGAATTCTTGTTGAATGAATGCAGAAATGAACAACTGATCTAACCCTCCCTGCAGTCATGGCTGCCTGGTTTTACAGAAAAGGGCCCTGTCAGCTTGGGCAGGAAGCAGGGGTGCCATTTCTTACATTGGCAACACTCCTCTTTTCTCTCCAGCCCCTTGATCAATTTCCTTTTAAAATTACTCCTTGAGCAATCACTGAATGCAAGGCCCGGGACTAGGGACTCGGGGAAGTTGCACCCTCTTGTCTCCTCAGGAGAGCAATAGAGGACTCCAGCAGGGAACATTATACAAGTATCTGCCCAGGCTCTCAAAGAGAGTATGTTTGGCTGCTTCATGGTGAACCCCCTGGAGATGTGACATTTGTCCCCCTCTCTCTGAAGAAACATTCTGTCCTGAGACCCAGAGGCTTTTTGGGTCACATTCCGGAAGTCTCCTGTGTTCAGTGCAGAGCTGCCCGGCTCCCTGCTTGCTGCACATCAAGCAAGCACAGTGCCTGTTTTGTGGCCTCCTCCGGGCACAGAGGACCGGATGTCTGGGTGTGTGGGCTCCTGAGATGAGCAAAGGATAGGGGGTGGGGGCAGGGGCCCAGTCCTGGCTGCTGTGTGATGTTGGCCACCTCCGGTGAACACCCCCACTGCCTTCCTTCATCTGTGATGGGAAGGAGTTGGGGGAGAACTGGTCGTCTTTAACTCATCTCTGTGGTTTTGTGCTAGATTTTAGAAACACTGACTGCAGTGTAGAAGCAAGTCCTTGATGGCCTATTCCTTATATGCACACGGGCCCCACTCAGACCTGCCACACACTACTGTGTGTCTGTCTACCCCCCCCCCCCATGCCCACAGTCTGCAGTCTGTGATTTCCTTTGGGAAAAGATGCCTTGTTCACACGACCCAACTGGCCCAACGAGGAGAAAGCCCGAGACAGTGGTCCTGCTTCTGAGAGTTTTGGTCCCACTGGCTGCGGTTGGGAGCAGCTGTGGGAGTGGACAGGACCTGAGTCATAAAAGCTGATTGCCAAACTGAATTCAAAGCTCAAAATTGGTAGTGACTAAACTACCCTGATTCAGATACCAGTTCCACAGAACCAATTCCAATCTTGTGACCCAATGCTTACTGGAGCAAACTGTGTGCTCTGTGGGGTCTAGATGGCACAGAAGGTTCAGGGTTGGCAGTTCAAACCCAGCAGCTGCTCCGAGGGAGGGAAAAGAGGCTGCTTGGTCCAGTAAAGATTTATGGTCTCAGAAACCCCATGGAAGAGGTCTAGGTTGATGAGGAGGCAGAAATGGCAGTAAATTGAGGTTTGCTCATTTGTTTGGGACCTTTCAGAAGCAGGTCCCAGGGTCTTTTTTTCTGAGGTCCCTCTGGCTGGGTTTGAACCGTCAACCTCTGGTTAGTAGCCCATTGCTTAACTTCAGATACACATAGCTTTATTGCGTATATTCCCAGTGGACTTTATCATTTTCCTTAAGAATGTTTCCCTTAGGGAAGAGAAACAGACTTGTAAAGTATGTGATGCCAAACTCCTACAAATTACTCCTCTGTTGAGGGGAGAGTTTTGTGTGCTGTAGAAGCCAACAAGGAAGTGAACAAAAACAACAAAAACTGCATTGGACATGCTAATAAGATCTGTATCCTTAGTTGTTTCACCTGTGTTCTGGGATCAGGTCCAACTTTCGTAGCTCCCCTCAGCACCTAGCTCATTCTGAAACCTGGAGCCTCCCTTCTCTCTGGGCGCCCGGTTCTCGGTATGATTGGGATGCTGGACTGAGGGAGACCTCGGCCTCTTGAACACCTATGTTGTAAGACTGCCTGGCTTCTCTTGCAAAGAGAGGTCCGCATTGTAAAACCAAGGCCCACGTTTTCAGAACCAAGAATTGGGGCCAGGTCTGATGAAGGAGATTGTTTTTCTTTACGTCTTTACATAAAAGAGCTGATGCAAATGTAAGGGGTTGCACATGTTAAGGACTTGCCTTCATCAGAAAGAAGT